AGGATTTGAGCTATCCGACTGCTTCAACAGATTCTATTCTCATCTAACTAATATCAGTTATTTACAACCATTTGTTCCCCCTAGTTTTATCTCGACCTCACAGATCATCTACATCACTGGTCTGTTTTCTCCCTCTTCATTTTCAGGTCACTCTTCTACGCCCAACTTGTGCCAAGTGTTCTGCCATCGCATAAACTGTTTCTAACTGGGACTCAACTGGTGCATTCCATGAGCATCCCATTTTACTCGGGGGTTCGAGTCTGTACACACCACACTTCAGTTAAGCGGCGTTGTCTTTCGGATTCGATCTCTTCATTTTTTCTCTTGGCTCAAACNCTCCTTTTGTGGCTCATTGTCTTCCCACAGTTTCGTTTCGTTCTACCAGACCAATGTCGATTTGGCATATCATCACCCTTTTGTCAGCTCTTCGTTCCCCGTAACCCATACCCCGATTTTACTGTATATTCGTTTGTCCTTACTTTATTTTGATGCAGTTCACTATCCTTCTCCCACCACACATCAACAGGGTCTTCTCTGTCTTGCTCTGTGCATATTCCGCTCTCCTTTGTGTCAGGTTTTATTGTGCCCGATTTTGTCAAATATATTCCTATGGTTTCAACTGGTAATCAGTTCAATGCGCCTTTTTTCTGTTGCACACTCTGGTTGCCCCCCGTGATTCGCTTGTTTTTGGTCGGTCGACCCACTCAGTTACTTTCCGTCTGTTGCCAGCGAGTCCCGGAATAGTGCCGTATTGAAACCTACGTTTCGTTTTGTGCACGAATAATCTTATTGAAATCTTCCACTATCTATTTTATTTCCCCCGTTTTTGCCGAAATAGCGCTTTAGCTCTTCACAAACCTACTTTTTCTCATCTTGTACTCCCGTTCGCTTTTATTTCACCGCTTAGTGTGATCTACCGCAGCGGGAGTGAGTCCAATGCTCAGGGAAACCTTCCAAGTTCTTTAATTGAAACTTCCCACCTGAGCCCTCGAATTAGTCGTGTTCCATCCGCCGGAATCGTACCGAGCCTGTCGCCAATGTTCGGTGTCGGTGACAGTATTCAAATCTGAACTTTAATGTACTCAATGTGCTCAATATTAGTACCACTGACTCGAACAGTTCGCATGTTGTCATCAAAAATCGGGTTTTCGGAACGGGCAGTGCAACTATCACGGATTAATTTCTTGGTCATAAACATCCTTGCGTCACTGTTTGTTTGACGTAGAATATTAGGTAAGTATGCAATACCACCAAAACAACCGAAAAATGGACCAAATGTTTTCTTTACTAGCTCATACAGTTAAAAAGTTCAGCAGTTTTACTCCCATTTACAGTTAGTCCAGTGAGTAGCCATATGTAACCGTACGCCCCCAGTGCGTTGTGGTGTGTTTTTGACCTACGGTGTGTTTACTGTTTCTTTTCTAAACGATAAAAGAGAGCGGGAGCATATATTGAGACGTTAAGGAGAACGAGAAGCGCGACTAAATAACGCATTAGACAGGTTATTCTCCCCACGCCCGCTTTCCCTATGGATACGTTTTCTCCATGATTCTACCGCATACTAACGTTTATCGACCGAAATCAGAACCACCCTGGACAATCATCCAAGATTCGGGTATAATTTTGACGCTTACTAAAACTCAATTTTATACCTTCTGTTATCCGCTCAGACACATCCAGATAGTGGTCTGTGTCCAGTGTGTTGTGTTTCTGTCATCACTTTCAGTTGAATCAAATAGTCAATCGATCCAATTAGGTCATCCTCATCTCGCTGCATTAATTGATATGAATCGTCGTCGCAATATCTCACTTCCCGGTGTAACTGGTATAATGGTTTATTGCCAATAGTTTTGTCTTACGAAATCGGATTGTCATGAGATTTTCTACACCCAAGTGTATCAACTGTCGCGCTGAGCATGTACTTGCTGTCATGTTTATTTGCATTAGCCACGAATTCTGTGTTATAACATATTTTCTCCTTTGTAAGTAGCTGTCAGTACTCACAGTAACCCTTTCCTCGAAGCGGTGAAATGTATTTTCCAAATTCCTGATTCAATTATCTGATTAGTTAAACTGAATTCAAAATTACTAAGGCTTCCCAATTGTTCTTGGTCGGATCTCCCTCCTTAATGTTCTCATCCCCT